TCATAGGTGTGAGAAAAAAGCAAATTATAAAAATCAGCAGCATAATTTTGCCGGTATGGATGATTTTGATGATTGGTTCTTCATGCGAGATCCAACTGAACATCGTCAGAATGCTTTAGAATAGAGATATTGCAATTCTGATGCTTCACGAAAGTAATTTGTAAAACAAATTAGTGTAAGATGGTCTAAATTATTACGATTACCATATTTTGACCCTATTAGATTTATCACAATTGATCCAATGCATTGCTTATTTTTAGGAATTGCACGATAGATAGTAAAACAAATTTGAATTGATGGGGGAATTTTAATATCAAATGCCCTGAAAAAAATTCAGAAAAAAATGAATGAGTTTCAGATTCCATCTGATTTGGGTTGAATTCTGGGTAAAATTTATGAAGAAGAAGGATTTTCTAATTTCACAGCTGATTAATGGCGAATATTTTTTACTGTTTATGCTACTGTATCGCTTTGGAAATATCTTCCAGCTGTAGATAAAAAGATTCTTACACATTTTGTGAAAATTTGCTTAATTTTAGTTAGCTGAATTATAGAATCAGATCTTATTTTAGAAGTTCATCAAAGATTAATTGAAATAGCAAAGCTAATAGAAGTTAATCATAGTCATAATAAAATTACGCTGAACATTTATTTATCTTTTAATTTATACAATTGCTCATTTAATTATGGGTCATTATATGTGTTCTGGTATTTTCTTTTGAATGCATGAATGGAATATTAAGTAATTCATCATTATAAAAATTTTCTGATTGAATATATTTATTAATTTTTAAATTTATAATTCTTAGGCTCTTTACTGAATAGCAATAGAAAAATCAAACCTGAACTTATGCGTTGATTGATAGTCGATGGTCAAATTAACAATATCATAAATTCCAGTGTTGAGATGAAAGGACTTGAATTTTTGAATAATCGGCCTTCTATTGGCTCTCTTTCGGTTATTGACTAATTTTTATCAAATGAAATATACTAATTTTAGATGAATTTCTGAAATATTAAAGAATCACGTATTTTTAATAGTAAAAATTTTCCAGAAAAATTTCTTAAGTCATCATCTGATAATATAATTATTTCAAATGAAATGCTGGATTTAATTGTTAAATACTATTTAGCAACCTATGAAAATCTCGAATTTTAAAAACCATTCAGCGATAATTCAGAAAATGCTATAATAATTCAGTTCAAAATGAATCAGTTTAGAAAATATCGAATCAGTTCTGAAATCTTTGGTTCAACAATGTCTTTATGACATAAGAAAAGTTTATACATTTTAGCCAAATTTATTACGAATGATGATGTTATTGATTGTTATCCAGATCAAGTTCAATATTATTTTACTTATACAGTCAATTTACCATATGGACTGACTGAACATTTTCTAGTATATGTTTCGCTGGTATCAACCTGCAGATTCTTCAAATGTTCAATATCATTTTAACATTGAAGAAACATGTAATGTTGAACTATGGAATACTGATTTTTACCCTGAAAGTCGTGATTGCATAATACCAGTATATCATATTTTAGGATGTTTTATACCAGTGAACTAACTATATAGAAGCTTTGCAATAGAAAAGGAGGAAACTCTAAAAAAAATTTTTTTGAATTAATGTTAAATCTGGACTTATTTTACAAAAAAAATCATAATTAGCTTAGAAAGTAAAATTTTAATTTTTTTTAGAGTTTCCTCCCTTTCTATTGCAAAGCTCCCATATGATTTCAATTCGGCGAAATGTAAAAGAATATTAGGCATCAATCCGATTAATAGAAAATACTAATTATGAAATTATGACATCTTATTTCCTTCCAAATTGTTATTTTTAACATAAAATAATCTATTAAAATTGCTTTCCGATTTTATAAATATACAAATTGTCCATAAATCGAACAGGTTGATTTAAGTTAATTTTTGGCTATTGATGATTATGTCTGATTGACAAACGATTGATAGATGATTTATCACATGTCTGATTTTTTTGAATTCGATCAGTGAAGAGATATAAATAATATAATATATATAAGAAATATACTATAAGACATAGAAGACATATATGATATTTTAATTACTACAATCATATATATCACTCAGTTCATCCATTTTTTCTTTGTGTAATACTATGTTTTTTCTAGAAAAAGCTGAGTAGAAACCTTTTTAGCAAAATTTGATTTGTTTTTTATAGCTTGCAAAATTTTTTTCAAGAAAATTTAGTAATAATTTTGTATTTTCGTTATACCATCCTGTTTCATCATCTTCAGCAGGTTGAGAGGTATCTTTTTCTTTAAAGGTTTTATTATATAGAAACTTTGCCAGTAAAATCAAGTCACGAGATATAGTAAATCATATGATCTGTAATGTGATTTTACTGGTGACGCTCCCATATGACTTTTTGATTTAGTAGATGACATAAAAGTTAAAATAGAAGTAGGTTTCAAAGAAAAAGAAACCAAAGAAGTAGAAGGAGCCAAAGGGTTAGAAGATGTTACATCTAAAATATTTGGATTTTGTAAAAATATTTCTTGTAGATTTGGTAGTTTTGGAAATAATTGAATGAAAGGTAGTGAAATATGGGTTAGACATTGATCGCATCAGCAACCAATCATACAAGACCTTAATTTTCAATCAATCCGATCCAATCTAGAAATGAACAGGGCTAATGATCACTGACTAATATAATTAAAAATTGTCCAATAAAAATCAATTCCGAAAGTTGCGAAACATGCTAAGCCACCGATTATTGGCTTAAATATGAAAATGTCGAATTTTTAAAAAAGGCATTTTATACAATTCGTCTTCAACACATTTTCCTAACTTCAGAAACAGACCTTTGTTACGCATTCTAGAAACATATTATCGAATTGTGACGTAGTTTCTTAGTAAAGCGATTTCATCCTTTAGTTTGACATTGTCCCATATATATCTAATGTTTTTGAACGAAAGTTTCATTAATATATCATGTTTATAAGCACTTATTTATTTATAAAAATTTAAAAAAAACATGTCAAAAATTCTTAGATTGGCTCTTCTTATTGCCGATACACCACTTCCAAATGTTGTCAAACAATATGGAGACTATTTCGTTCAATTCTCAAAATTTTTGCAAAGAGCCGCTGATTCTAGTAAAGAACCAATAAGTCTAAATATACAACCTTTTGATGTGACAAAAATGGAATATCCAAATAAACAAGAATTACTTAAAATCAATGGAATACTTATTACTGGGTCTGGTATGAAAAGATTTGAAAAAATAATACATGATTTAGATCTTCATTATTATTTCTCAAGCACATTAAATGTAATGTATCTACTTTATAGCTGCATCAGCCTATGAAGATATTCCTTGGATTAGTCGTCTAGTTGAGTTTATGAGTTCAATTATAAACGATTATCCAAAAATTAGGATTGTTGGGATTTGTTTTGGACATCAGATCGTTGCTAAAGCAATGGGTGGTCAAGTTATTAAGAACCCATTAGGTTGGGAGGTAAATGGAATTTTAAATCAAAATTTTTTTTCCTTATTTTTCAGCTTGACTTGAATGCTTTTTGCAAATTTAGGTTGCAGTTACGGAAATTTCTTTAACAGATACCGGAAAGAAATTTTTCAAGACAAATAGGAAAGCATTGGTATAAAATAAATTTTATTATTATTGATTGTACTTTAATCTTTTTATACTCATTATTTGCTTTAATTTCAAAGCGTCTACAAGAAATGCATCAGGTAAGTTATTTTAATTCTCCATAAAATATTAAAATAAATTTTTAAGGATTTTCTTTATACAAGGATTATGTTTCTAGTATTCCTCCAAACTTTTCGAATCTTGGATTTACTAAAATATGCGCAATCCAAGGGATGATTAAAGATGATCATGTGCTTACGATTCAGGCTCATCCAGAATTCGTGAGTGATGTAGTTAAAGAGATTATTAAAGCACGTCAGGAAAAACGAATCTTTACTTCTGAACTTGCGCAAAAATTTTTGTTGGCAGCGGATTATGATGATGATAGCACATGGATAGGACAAAAATGTGTGGAGTTTTTGACAGGTTAGTATGATTACATAGTGTTATTAATTTTGATGGTGGGTCCAACTAATAGAATTTCATGTAGGTGGGATTGAACCAGATGTTACCGATAATTAATCTATTTAGAGATCACTAAATTATTTTCAAAGAACAAATTTGTTGGTGTAATCTGTATTTCAATCGAATTAAAATTAAAATATAATATTTATGTGTGTAATCTGATGTGTACAATCCCGAGGTACCGCTCGATTCTATTCTTTGCGACATTATTAATTTATATAGTTGAAAAGACAGTTGTCGTTTAATAATAAATATTATTTCAAGTCTTTATGAAGTTCCTTTTTCATGTTTTATTTGCTCAAGATTGTATTTTAACGGAGCCTTTTACAAATATTAGTGAAAATGAATTTTATAATATGAACAAGTATATAAGACAGATAATAAACATTAAGGACTTGTAATACATGTGCAAATTTCCCACGCAAATAACGGATTTGATTTTCTAAATTTTGTTTGTGTAATTACATACAATAATACTGAATTTTACATATTATACCAGATTTTCCAATTTCGGAATGAATTTTCTGACAGTAAATGCCTTACTTAATCACACACATACTCTTTCCTCGCCACAATTTAATTCCGTTCGGGCTGGATAAACAAAGATGCAGGAATTTCATTTTGCTCGTTCCGTGAACAAATTTATGCGATTTTTTTTTCTTGATTTGATTTAAATAAAAACATCGCTCGTATTTTAAGTCCCCTTTTAACTTTCCTTAAACTTATTAGTAATGATATTCAATTCACTATTCGCAATTTCCAATTTGTTGATTTCATTATGATAATATTTAGACTAAAATCAGTCACAAGAATACAAATATAAATATGATAATTAAAATATTATATAATTATGTAAATTGGCGAAATTTTTTTTTTCAAATTTTTAAACAATATAAACAATGCCAAAAAACGTTGGATGCTTTTCATATCTAAATGATTTTTATACATTACTACTAGGTGTTGATGATGAATTCAACGAAAAATCCTCTTCTAGATTTGTGAGTTCGGCTTGGAATAATATCACGTGTACTGCCAATTATGAAAAGATTTAACATTTTTTATTTTAAAAAATAGAGTAAAGTGAATAATTATGGTCCAACTATAGTAATTCATGGTGGCGCAGGAACCATTGCTCGTAAAGATCTTTCTGAAGAATTACAAAATGAATATCGTGATGCATTAAAAGAATCTTTAATTGCTGGTAATAAAATCTTATTAAGTGGAGGAAATTCAATTGACGCCGTAGAAGTCGCAGTTAGGGTAATGGAAGGTTTGTAAGAAAAGAGATAATTTGTCTTTAAAAAAAAAAATTCTAATAATTCTTTAATTTATCTTACATTTAATAGATTGTCCTCTTTTTAACGCCGGAAAAGGGTCAGTTTTTACGATTGGTGGAAAGGTAAATTTCAAGGTATTTTTTATTTTTTATCAATCTTAAAAATTTCATCCGACATTATTTATTCTATAGAATGAACTTGAATCTTCATTCATGATTGGAACTCCTAATCATCCAGCTGGCGCAAGCACTTTATTACATACAGTAAAAAATCCAATCACTTTAGCTAAAACTCTTTTACTTGATCCGGAGAATCCACATGTATTTCTTGGTGGTATAGAAGCTGAAGAATATGCTAAAAAGAAAGGACTAGAAATTGTTGATCCCTGTTATTTTTGGACAAAAAGAAGATGGCAACAACATTTGGAAGAGTTGAACAAGAATAATAATAAAGTGGATTCACCATATCCTATGGGAACTGTTGGAGCCGTTGCTGTTGATAAAGACGGCATTATAGCTTCAGCTACCTCTACGGGTGGGTACATTTAATTTATAATTATATGGATTATATACGATCCCTAATATCATTATCAATTAAAAGGTGGCATGAATAATAAAAAAGATGGTCGAATAGGTGATACACCGTTGATAGGATCTGGCACTTGGGCAGATAACGAAACATGTGGTGTTAGTGGCACCGGTAATGGAGAGGTAAATTTTCGGAATTGAATTTTTTATCATATATTATTTATCTAATCTATCTTTGTGTGCCACTAAAAGTTTTTTATTAGATATGGTATCGCTCAAGATGTTTCATCCAGAATGCGTTACCTTGCTGAGAATGTAAATGAAGCAGCTAATGCTGTTATAGAAAATATGAGAAAGGTTGGAGGAGGTGCTGGTGTAATTGCGTTAGATAAATATGGTAATGGTAAGTAGGTTTAAAGATGATTATTTGACAACGCTTTTTTGTAATAATTGGATTGTAATGTATTTTCTACTTTTGCATTAGTTGCTATGCCGTTTAATACAACTGGAATGTATAGAGGTTATATTAGAGTTTCCGAAAGTATACCATATGTTTATATTTTTTAATATTAACTATTTCATAATTTTCAAATATCGAATTTACGTATACCATAGCATTCACGTGAATTCAACATAATTGCTTAACACGAAGACTTATTGAAGTTTTTATAATAAAAAAAATTGATTCATCTCAATTTTTGAAACAATATCGGATCAACTTCAAATCAAATAAATACTCAGATCCTGCGAATAATATTTGACGGTAATATACTTGTTGGCGAAATGACAATGCAAATAAAAGAATTATCAAGAATGTATTTCCTCGTAGATACGACCTTAGTCTGCGAGGAGGTATTCAATTCGTACAAATTGTTAACATATAAAAGGAACATTAAAAAAAAGGTGAGCTTATCTCCTACTGGATCTCTCTTCGATAACATAAATGTTCTTGGCACGGATTTTCTGAACACATATAATGGCTATAAAATTATTTGAAGAAATTGTCTACAGTTGTATTTACTCTAGTACAGACTTCTACACCTCATGTAGGATAATGCAATTTCAAGTAATTTATTAACCAATAAAAATGCATAAAACAAATCAATTTCTGCCTTAATACTGTATTAAAAAATTATAAATTCATTTTTAATAACTCAATTGAAGAAAGAATTAAATCATTTTTTTATATTGCTTTATCAACTTGTAAAAATTGTTTATTGCATTTGAGCTCTAATTCTTTAAACTTTTTCAGCTTATTAAAAATATAATTAATATTAATAAATTTGACTTTTAAAGACCTATTTATATTAGATAATCATTATATAAATATTCTTATATATAATTATAGTATCTCAATATATTATTTTTAAATTGTTTTGCAGTATTAAGAATGTTATCCCTAAACTCTAAAAATTAGTTTTAGATAACAATATTAATTTAGAATATAACTAATTTTAACTCTATGTGATTGACAAAAATTATCAAGTGACTAATTTAATAATGTAAACTCATAACAATGATACACATGATTAATATGATATAATAAATCAACCCTATAAATAATCAGTATAAGGAAAGTATACGGAAATAATACGTTTAAAAAACGTATAAAAAACGTATAAAAACA